TTAAGTGTTTTTGGCTTGCTCTCCGCAGTGGAGGGGCTCGAGGAAGCAGCTCCAACTCGAGCTTCGATATACCCCCGAGTGGGACTACTAATGCTTGGATGATGAGTATAGCAAGATGGTTAAATTATGTTGGTGGATTTGGAGAGGTGGAGGGATGCCAAAACAGACCTGGCATCAGGCCAGAGCAAGGCATCAATTATGTTGTGAACTTCACTAAAGATATTAAAGAGCCAAAATAAACCAAGTTACAGACACTGTACTCCATAAATGAAACCGAACTGATTTCTTCATTTCTAAAACTGCATGCGCCCAAAAGCCAAAAATGGTGTACGGCAAAAAAAAAAAAAAAAAATTCAGAATTATAAAACATACTCCGTGCGTTCTCCAGAACATGCTCAAAATTCTCTTTTTAAATCCCAGACAGCGGAAGATTGTGCGAACATATGTCTCAACCGAAATAAACATATATGGAGATAAAAAGCCTATAGTTTCACTAAGCATATTCATACATGTTTAATGGTACAAGACATTAGGAAAATATGAGAGAATGGATGTGCAATCACATTATGTTGCTAAAAATCATTTAGTAGCCTATCCTTGCCTTGTTTTTGAATAACAAAATATAAAATAGCATAAAATAAATTTCAGAGAATTTTTTTCGGAATCATCTCCAGAAGCCAAATTGTATTTTCAATTGCTTTATGTTTTTAATGGAAACAGAGAGGCGTTATTGTGCATTATTGATCATCATTTGTGTTGCTATGATCTTGTTGTTTTAATGTTCTCGCTTTTTTGTTATGTTATTGTTTTATTTGAATTATTGCATGTACAGGACTTTGGTAAACCCTTATATATATATTTTTTTAAAGTGCTATATAAATAAACATTGAGTTGATTATTTGCGCAAACATATTCCATGAGTTCATGCGGCAAGCAATCCTTAGTTAAAACATTAAACAAAATTGTGCTACTACAGTCATGAATATCTCAAATTATATATTAATATTGAGTAAAGTTTGGTTGTTACTTTTTTAAACACTGTTGACGACTTAATCTAGTTTGATTTTTGTCACTGTCTCATAAGCAACAGAAGGGACATTATGGTATACATTTGCATCTGTTCCCGGATCACACAGTTTGAAGGAGAATATGCATGTTTCTTTTTGCAGGACCGTAAAGCATTTGAGTTCCCGTGAGGCGCTCCAGTTGGCTGACTATGGAGAGATGTGTCTGTGTTTCAATCCAAGCTTGATGGTTATAATCATCGCATCACTCACTCCACACAAAAGCACATCTTTCTTCCTTTTGTTTCCTCAATCATTTTTGCATCTTATGTCACTTCCAGATTTTAGATCACAGGAAGCATTTGGTGTCACCCCCTGATTATCTTGTCCTTGTCCAACCTTCTCATCTGAGATCATTTTGATAGATACTGAATAACAGAGATTATCGCTTGGATGACGAAGGAGATTGTGAGTGTGAGTGATATTTGAACCTTATTTTACTTGGAGTGTAAATATATCAAATGCACCCTTGTTGAACATACGAGATTTCTACACATAAACCCACAAATTGTCTTCTCTCTTTATTCTTCTTTGTGACTTTCCTCTAGCGTTTTATCACATTATTGAAAACCAAAAACAATCGCCATTGGCCCAGCCTGGCAGTTTATCATCAGTGTTACAAATCATGATCAGTTGTCTTAATTTCTTTAATGAATTGTCAGGACAATGTCTTATATTACTGAATAAAAGACATGTTTATGAAGGCTAATCTAATTAATGGAACATAGTGCTGGGAGTCAAACTATAGAATTAACACTTCCACTGAGATGATTAGTACAGCCTTTGGGTTCGGAAACTGAAAATAAGCGCAAGGCTTGTTTGAAAAGCACCACAGATTATGCAAAGAATATGCAGACAAAAAGTATCCAAAAATACCAGTAAGTTTCTGTGTAAAGGAATTATATTGATCCTCCAAACACGTAATACTTCTGTAAATGGTTGTGCATATTCACTCACCTGAAGGATTGTTAGGTGTTAAACACCTGTTCAATTTCTCATTAATGCAATTATCTAATCAACCAATCACATGGTAGTTGCTTTAATGCATTTAGGGTTGTGGTCCTGGTCAAGACAATCTCCTGAACTCCAAACTGAATGTCAGAATGGGAAAGAAAGGTGATTTAAGCTATTTTGAGCGTGGCATGGTTGTTGGTGCCAGATGGGCCGTCTGAGTATTTCACAATCTGCTCAGTTACTGGGATTTTCACGCACAGCCATTTCTAGGGTTTACAAAGAATGGTGTGAAAAGGGGAAATACATCCAGTATGCGGCAGTCCTGTGGGCGAAAATGCCTTGTTGATGCTAGAGGTCAGAGGAGAATGGGCCGACTGATTCAAGATAGATAGAACTTAAATAAAGTTGTGCGTTGGATATTTACGCTTTTGCAAAAGCGTCCTATATGGCGTTTTGGGATGAGAACGCGTTGGAAATAACCACTCGTTACAACCGAGGTATGCAGCAAAGCATTTGTGAAGCCACAACACGCACAACCTTGAGGCGGATGGGCTACAACAGCAGAAGACCCCACCGGGTACCACTCATCTCCACTACAAATAGGAAAAAGAGGCTACGATTTGCAAGAGCTCACCAAAATTGGACAGTTGAAGACTGGAAAAATGTTGCCTGGTCTGATGAGTCTCGATTTCTGTTGAGACATTCAGATGGTAGAGTCAGAATTTGGGTTAAACAGAATGAGAACATGGATCCATCATGCCTTGTTACCACTGTGCAGGCTGGTGGTGGTGGTGTAATGGTGTGGGGGACGTTTTCTTAGCACACTTTAGGCCCCTTAGTGCCAATTGGGCATCGTTTAAATGCCACAGCCTACCTAAGCCTTGTTTCTGACCATCCCTTTATGGCCACCATGTACCCATCCTCTGATGGCAAATTCCAGCAGGATAATTCACCATGTCACAAAGCTCGAATCATTTCAAATTGGTTTCTTGAACATGGCAATGAGTTCACTGTACTAAAATGGCCCCCACAGTCACCAGATCTCAACCCAATAGAGCATCTTTGGGATGTGGTGGAACAGGAGCTTCGTGCCCTGGATGTGCATCGCACTAATCTCCATCAACTGCAAGATGCTATCCTATCAATATGGGCCAACATTTCTAAAGAATGCTTTCAGCACCTTTTTGAATCAATTTCACGTATAGAATTAAGGCAGTTCTGAAGGCGAAAGGGGGTCATTAGTATGCTGTTCCTAATAATCCTTTAGGTGAGTGTATGTCCTACTGTCCAGTTGTAAAAAAATTCATTTTTTGTACAGTAATTGCAGTGGACTACTGTTTCTTTTGGCCAATGGTTAAGAGAAAAGTAAAATATAGCAATTTTCCACTAATTGCTTGTTCCTGGTCCTCATGATTTGCCAATTTAAAGGGTTTATGGTAGAATTAAAAGTGAAACGTGTATCTTTTTCCTAGTGCTTTCTACCAGCCTCCAGTAAATAAATAAATAAAATGAAACGCAAAACTAAACATCTATGATGTTCCCAGTGTAATTTTGAGCCAAATCTAGTCAAAGATATTTATATAAATTTATTCACAAAATATTAAATATTTCCATATGTTAAAAATTTGCATCAGCTCATGTAATGTACTGTGGGAATAACTTGCTGGCATTGTCATCTCCAATTCCCCTCTATAAACAGGCCAACATTAATTTTGTCATTCATTATTTGCATATTATGCTAACACATGCCATCTTTTCCAGCACAAACTGAGAGCCACAGCTCTCTGTTATGAAACTAGCCTAAGGCCAGTGGCCTTTTATTTGAGTAATGAATTGTTAATGTATTTAAATTATATTTGCTCTATCAATTTAAATCAGGTCAATCTGGTGATATTAATGAAACATAGTTCAGATCTGACACGGTCTTCTAATTCTTTTAATCTTTTGATGCTGGCTTTGTAGACTTCATCTGCATAATCTTTTCTCCGTTGTTTGACATGATGTTTCAAATACATTTTTAGATGCACTGCTGTACAGTGTGAAAGATCATTTAAAAATAAACACACAGACAAAACTAAGCAATTGCAAATGTCAGTGAACAACAAACAAAAATGCACATGCTTGAGATCTCTTGATCCACAATTTTACTACTATAATATTGATGGCATGCAAGAAGACAGCTACGTGCTTTCAGATAACTTATTTGACTGTACTTTTGGATTAAGATGTGTCCTTCAGTCTAGCAGCTCTGTGAATATCAACTGCATATAGCAAGTGAAAAATAAATAAACTAAAATGTATTTGAAATAATTATTTTATGCTAAGTAAATACATTTATGTATTATGTATTTAAGTGTATATACATTTATATCTAAGTATATACGTTTATGTATTTATGTACTTAATATAAATACCCTGCAATTGTACTTTTAGCATACTAAGTTGGTATACTTTAAGTCTGCTAAGTTGGAACAACTAATTTTGTACTTAATAAAATAGTGCTGGAGTTCAACTAAAGTTATACTTAAGTAGGCCTATTGCCCATTTGTTTTGTGCTAAGGACTATTGCATGTACTTTAGGAACAGGCTACACTTTAAATAGCTTGCATATACCGAGATCGTAGTAGGCTACTACTATCCTTACTAATGGTGATATCAAACACATTTTAGGCTTAATATTAAGAAATGTGCACATTTAAATGTAAATGTATTTTAAATACATTTTGGCATAGTTTTTTTTAACTAGGGAATGCAAGGACAAGGTCACAAATAATAATACAACTAGTATACATTTTTATAAAATAATTTTGAGTTGTCCTACTATGGCATTCCTAAAAAAAGAAGCAGGCGCTTTGCGTGTCATCTTGCTACGTGGCGTTCACGCCCATCTCGACTTACAGACAACCCATTGGCCAATAGCAGAGCTTCTGACGCTCCCTTACTTTGTTAGCCGTGCTATGATTGGCTGTGCGTTGACACGCATTCATTCAGGGTTTGGTTGTAGCCTTTAGTGATCCGCCGGGTATGTTTGAATCGAAAATGAAAAGAACGGACTTGTTCGTGTTCTGATGACTTGAATTGTTTCGCTCTGAGTTTATAGTCATTGAAACGCGTCTCCCTGGCGGCCACAGCTTATGCAGATTTGCAGGCGGTCAATCAAATAGTTAACGTTACAGCTTTAAACTTTGTGCCAGTTTTGAACTCTGTTTTAGCGTTGGATTGCGTCTTTCAGACATGGATGTGTCGACGTATTTATGGTTTTTGTCTGTTTGCACGTGCCTGGTGCACGGGAAACCCACTCTTAGGAAAGAAAGAGTTCATCACGAGCCTGAATTGAGCAGACAGCCTCACGAAGATAACCAGAGCTATCAGTACGACCACGAGGCCTTTCTGGGCAAAGAAGAGGCCACCACATTTGACCAGCTCACCCCAGAGGAAAGCAAAGCCAGATTGGGGTAAGATTGGGGGTTTTGTTCAACAGACCTTCTTGGGCAGTGTTGTTGCATATCTCTGTATGTGTGGGGCAATAGCACATAGGCTATGGCTGTTCTAGATCACAAAAAGGAGAAATCGTTTAATAATCTAGACTAGAGCAAAGGTCTTAGAAATTAAGTATTTGTGTTCATATTTGTTCATACATTAGTGGGGAGCATGTAATACCAGGTTTAATTCTAAGGATTACTTCATTTGACTTCAAAGAGAGTCTACAGTTTATGGTTGTCCTCCTGTCATATGACAACAAAATGCCCCTTGCATGTTTGCCACACTGGCATGTCAACAGTTTGGGTGCTTCATTAATATCAGGGTTTTTCTAGTTCCTTGCCAACTGTAACATGTCCTCCATTTGAAATGGGTGTAGACATGAATCTGGGTGCTCTTCCCACAAACCTCCCTCTTCTGCAGTACTGTTAAATGGTTGGGAGGGCTCACTTAACATCACAACGTGGCATCAGAGATAAAAATAATTTGCTGTTGACAGTCTTCAAGTTACTTGGACTCTAGTTCCTGTCAAGAACATTTCTCGGTTGTAATTCAAACCAAAATAAGTAAATAAGAAAATGAAGCCAAGAAAATTAAAGTTAAGCACATTTCCCACTCAGTTCTCATTGTATTGATCTTGTATGATTTTCATTTTGGGCTGAACCAACCTTTCAGAATGAGAATCACCAATGAGAATGAGAACTATTACAAACAAACAAATTACAGTAATGACCATTTTTGGTCCTAAAAATAGGATTGATTATTAAAACTTATATAACAGTTATATTGGAATGGAATATAACACAGAATCTATTTAAGCTAAAAAGCCAGAAATGTGTCTATGAAAACTCCACTATACGCAAATATGTATTTAGGCTACAAACTTTCCTTTTTGTGCACTTTTAAATTCTGTAGGAAAATAGTTGATCGTATTGACAGTGATGTTGATGGATATATCAGCACTGATGAACTCAAGGCCTGGATCAAGAGAGTACAGAAGCGTTACGTATATGAGAACGTTGCAAAGGTCTGGACTGATTATGACCTGAACAAAGACAACAAGATCTCATGGGATGAATACAAGCAGGCAACTTACGGTTATTATCTTGGTGAGTCACAGTCACACTGTTCTCAAACTATCTGAAGTTTTAATATTGATTAAATGATTTTGCAATAAATCCCTTAATGAAATTGTTTTCCAGCCAATCCAGAGGAGTTTGAAGATGCAACAGATCAGTTCAGCTTTAAGAAAATGCTTCCACGAGATGAACGCAGGTTTAAGTCTGCAGATCTCAATGGCGATTTAGCTGCAGAGCGTGAGGAGTTCACTGCTTTCCTCCACCCAGAAGAGTTTGATCATATGCAGGAAATTGTGGTTCTTGTGAGTGTCAGTTGGATTATGTGTTTTGAATTTTACCAACTGTCAGTTTAATAATGCAGGCTGTATTACATAAAGTAACTGATTCATTGCTTTCCTCCCTTATATTAGGAAACTCTGGAGGACATTGACAAAAATGGAGATGGACATGTAGATGAGGATGAATACATTGGTTAGTTCATTTGTGTTTTTGCATGTGGGGTATTACAAATATTCTAAATTGGGATATGATTGTTTTTTGTGAATTTTAGACACTGAAACTCTTGATAGAATTGACATTTTTGGGAAAATTACTCTTTTAATGTTGCGCATCCAAGGGAAGAGGTTTGAGTGTTTTTTGCTATTTTACAGCGGACATGTTTGCTCATGAAGATGGCGGTCCTGAGCCAGACTGGGTGAGAACTGAGAGAGACCAGTTTTCAGATTTCAGAGATCTGAACAAAGACGGGAAGATGGACCTAGAAGAGATTCGTCACTGGATCCTGCCGCAGGACTATGACCATGCGCAGGCAGAAGCCCGGCATCTAGTATACGAGTCGGACACTGATAAGGTAAGAACCTCATCAGGAGTATCTCTAATCCTGAATCAAAATCTTACGATTAATCCTGTAATACAGTGTTTCCCAACCCTGTTCCTGGCGGCACACCAACACTGCGTGTTTTCTTTGTCTCCCTAATCAAACACACCCGATTCAACCCATCAGCTCATTAACCCACCTGATTATGAGCTGATGGGTTGAGTCAGGTGTGTTTGATAAGGGTTACAAAGAATACACGCAGTGTTGGTGTGCCGCTAGGAACAGGGTTGGGAAACACTGCTGTAATACATTAAATGGTTAGTTTACCCAAAAATGAAAATTCTGTCATTAATTACTCACCCATAAGACTACAGTGTGACTACAGTGGTTCAACCTTAATTTTGTGAAGCGACGAGAATACCTTTTGTGCGCCAAAAAAACTAAAGAACGACTTTATTCTATACGAATTTCTTCTCTTCCATATCAGTCTCCGACTTAAAGCTTAATGTATTTTAGGGATGTTTTCCAGAATAAATCTGATCTGATACTAAAAATGTGACCGCTTTAGACTGGCTGTCTATGGGCATGCACAAAGATGTCCATAAAACAACCCTTAACGTTCATTTTGAAAACTGTGCAACTCGCCGAGTGGTTGGTGGTGTTCGTTGATGTTCTGAAACAAGTAGCGTATAGCGAAATACCGTTTCTGTCGTGTTTTATTTGTGATTTTTTAAAATCGCATTGATGTCTGCTGTAGGACTCAGTGCTCGTTGATATTACTGCGCTAGCTACCGGAAAAGGAAAGGAGTCTGTTTACATTTGGTTGTAGTCTTTTCGCTCGGTTCTCCGTCTCTCAGAAGGCTAGCGTGAGCAGAGCAACTGTGCTCCCGGACTTTTTTTATGGTGCGCTAGACACAGTGTTCCGTACAGCGTCCTGGTTGTCGCCATCTAGTGGTTGGGAGCGTGCTAACGCTTCAGACGCAAATATCGAGCGGAAGTTATACGCGGTTGTGAGGTATCTGAATAAATAGTTCCACAATAGCAAACAACACGGATTGAAAGCATACATTGCGCCAATATATTTGTTTTTAATCATCAACGAACACCACCAACCACTCGGTGAGCTGCACAGTTTTGAAAATGAACATTAAGGGTTGTTTTAAGGACAGGTTTGTGCATGCCCATAGACACCCAGTCCAAAGCTGTCGCAGGCGATTCTAAGAAAGTCGAGACAGGACCCATTGTCAATTTCTAAGTCCACCACTCTATTTCATTCAAAACAAACTACAAAATAGACTCAAGGTGTTAAATACCGGAATTATCCTTTAAGTAGAGATTGTTTTATAATAATGCGTTATATAAAATATTACTTTTTTCAGGACCAGATGCTGACCAAAGAAGAGATTCTTGAGAACTGGAACATGTTTGTAGGCAGCCAAGCCACTAACTACGGCGAAGACCTTACCAGGAACCATGATGAGCTATGAACCTGAAGAGTGTGTGGAACTCTACCTGATAAACTCAATTGCTTCCATTCACTCAGAAGCCATGCCACAGACTGATCTATTGCAGCTCTACCTCACAGAACACTGGACAAAGAGGAATCACTGACTGATGGCCATAGTCCCTAAAGCAAACTTTGGATTTCCTCCTTAACTGTAATTTTTGTGGGTGGTTGAGGAGCTCTTCTGGTCCTGGTTGAATGAGCTGCTGCAGATTTTTTTCAGCTGAAGCTGAGCCTTTTAACCCAAATTGTTTTTAAAGCCTGTACTTGTACAAGTTGTGGCTGTTTTTGTCTGGAGGAAGATTCTAATTATTTAGAATATGAACTTCATGCTTTGATCGTATAATATTTCTACTACAGAAAGCACTACAAGTCAGTGTTGATATATAGTTTTATATTATGCATAGATGTGTAATTATACTTTAGATTATCACAAGTTCCCCATTGCTGGCCAATAATGAGTCTTATTTGTTTTGAACCTGAGAAGCTTTGGCGTGATGATCTGAAGTAATCTGCTGGTAAGACAGTGATGTTTCAGGCCAACTTTTGAAGCTGCTTAGATGAGGGTCAAGTTGTGTTCGATAATTTGATAACCTATTCCAGTCAGAGTTTTACCAGTCATTCAACGATAACTACAAAATGAGTCCTATAGATCTCAATCAGGGTAGTGCCTCAGTTAATTTTTGACATGAATAAAAACAAGGCTGTGACTGAGGGAATACCGTGTTCTGCATTGTACTGTTAAACAACATACCGATTGCTTGCGTCTTTCCGAGAGAAAGAGTACAAACTGGAATTGGTTGTGAAAATTACACAATAGAGTACCAGCGCTTGCCATTGCAAAGACTGTAAGTCTCTCCCTCACAGGCTCGTTTTCATCCACGTAAAGTTAAAAATGCTGTCTTACCTAACTGAAGTCTGCAGTCTTCGTTTTAATGCAGTATAATTAGTAGATAATTATACTGCATTATTGGCCACAGAGGCGTGCATGCATATGTGTATCTTGTGAAATGCTTTTATTTTATTTAATTCACTAAATTAAATGGGACCATGTTGTCCATTGCACCATTTCTTTATTTGAGCCAATATTTTTTTTTCTTCTCAGTGATAAAAATCTTTCATAAAACTTTAAAGTTGATTTTGATTGACTTTTTTTTTTATCTGATTAATTGTTATATAATTTTTTTTAATTCACATACCAGATGAGAAGTATTGGAGAGTTGTGTTTTTAAACCAATGTTTCAGGATCTCTGTAACTATAGCCATTTGTTGTCCCCCAACCCACACAGAATTTTTTTAAGCTTTGTTGCTTTATTTATTTCCTGCAAAAGACAGAAGTGAATTAAATCTGGCATGTAGTACTTCAGGCAAAACTGCAGCTCCATCTGTTTACCTCCGGTGAAGTGACTCCTGGATTATTATTGGAGATACTGTAATATCAAATGTCCACGTGCATGTCTGCAGCCCAGCCGTCTCCATTAAGATGCCCTGCAGAAGGCAATCACATATGTTGAAGATGCAGCATTTGTCTAAATAAGACAGTTAATGTAAGTATTACCTGACCCACTGCCTAAAGGTAAAGGTTGAGTATATACAGTTTGCAATTGCAATTTGTTTCCCGCTTCCAGCATGTCTCAGGTTTTGAACCCCAAGCAGAAAATACCTCTGTCTTCACGTGAACAATGATTTACACACACTAAATCAATAGCATTCCGGTATCATTTTATATATTTTTTCCTTTTCACTAGGCCTCGCAGTTTACACAAATGTGTATTTGGCCTGAAGTTAGCCACAAAAACATTGTCGTAATGGGTTTCTTTCAGTGAAATATTTACATGCTGTTTTTGTTTCATGAAATTGAGTCTTTTTCCTCCCTTTAAGAACTTTTTTTTTCCACATTAAAATATTATCCCTTACCCAACTTCATTGAAAAAATACCAAACTGTCCTGTCAAAAGCCTATAAATAAAATGTAAATATAAACGCTTACATTTAAATTTTCTCTATGCATTTTACTGCAAGTTCTTTTAATTAACATCTTATATGCATTAACTTGGTCATGTTTACAATTCGTCCATCAGTTCTCCAGTACTTTAGACTAAACATCTGTGCTTATGTTTTTATAAATGAGGTTAAGTTGATGGTTTTATCCCAGGAGAGAACCCAGATAGATTCCTTTAGGACTTAAAAAATATGTTCAGCTTTGGGGATCCTTGTTTCTCTTGTGTCTTTCTCTTTCCTTTTCCTCAGAGACCTAGAGGACTTGAATCAGTCCCTCCCTGAAGACATCGTCTCTTCTCCAAACTCTCACATGATGTAAATAAAATTAAACAAGTCAGAACTGTTTAAAAGGAAAAGTTTACCTGGAAGTGGATGGGGGTGGCTGCTGTTAAAGTCCCCCTGAAGTCAAACTCATCTTTGATACATTTTTTAATAGCTTTAAAATAGCTTGGACCCTTGCTTCATTTTGTCCCACCTCCACCGCGTAGGATTCTGGGACGTGGCGGCCATATTGACAGCTTCGCAAATGTAAACAAATTTTTAGAGATTTTTAAGGATTTTAACATCTTTTTTCTTATCTTTATCCAAATTCTGCTGCTTCTCCTCGTTCGACTTGCTGCATGTTTACAAGCGTGAACCTGCCAACATGGCCGCCACGCCAGTAATGATGTCACGACGCCCAAGCCTTATTAGCCAACTTTTACTCACTCGTGAGATAGCGTTGAAAATACTCAGCGATGGTGTTGACGTGAATTTGTATATCGTTTGTCTAAAAAAAATATTATAAACACACAACATAGACATTAAGCATTTAACATTATTTATTTTCACCACTGGGACTCTCCAAGTCCAAAAATGACCAAAAAGAACCACATAAGATGCATTGATTCGTACTAACTTAAAGAAGCTTTTGTATGACTTTAATAGATTTACGATTGGAAGCCTAGATGAGTTATTTTTTTTGGGGGGATATTCCCTTATTTTATTTCAACTAGACCTAAAAGTGAAAATAGATATATGGCAAGGACATCAATGTGGTAAGTCTGAATCTTATTTAATATATTTGCATATTTTTCCATCTCCACTGCCCAATGGCTCGCTTTGTACTTAAATCATGTACATCGGTATGTTTTATATCGCAAATGCATCTGTCTTTAAATACGTTTGTCTGTGTGTCTTGGGAATACTGGCTGCTCTTTTCGTCTGCCAGTTTCCTCTCAAGGTGTTTTCTCCTCTCTAGCTTCTCTATCTCTTGTCCCATAGTGACTGCTTAGACGGACCCCATCTGAGCTCCAGCTGCCTGGGGCCCCGGTGTCCCTGTGCCCCCCAGGCATTTAGGCATACAGCATGGGAGACGTCTGCTTTCTCACAGCCTCTCAGGACACAGATCAGCTCAATCATATGGTAGACACACACACACACACAACTCCAAAGCGTCCTATGTGTATTGAGGTATTTCTTCCTGCAGCTGCAGAAGATATATAAAGACGTTACCCTTGTGAGATAACTATAATATAATTCTGTAAGGGAGTTGAATTCTGTACAGCATGCTACTAAAATATATACTTCTTTATCTAAGATGACCTCTGAAGAGTATGATAGTGGAGAAAGCTATTCGTTAGTCTTCCCATGCATCTCGTTTTCAGTGAATAGTTCCTAAAAGAATCTTTTTTTTTTTTCCTTAGTGTAAAGAACATTTTAAAAATCTAAAGAATCTTTTTCCACTTTTGTGGAATGGCAAGATTCCATGGATGGATCTTCATGAAGCCACTGATGCCAAAAAAAGCTTTATTTCTAAGATTGTATGTTTGTGTTAAAATGAGTTGAAATATGACCATCTATCTGTGCCACACTGACTGTACAGACAATTTCTGCAGAATCGTGGCCGCAGTCGACAGGCATTCGGCTAATGAAGGGGTGTGAAGGGAACACACTGTTCCAACGCTTCAGTGGCATTAAGACCTCCATCTTCAGCCACTAATGATCTGTGAGCATCCCAAACAAATAAAGCTGGAGTGCATTTCATTGCCAGGATTCTGACGGTCTCATCATACATGACATTTAAGACAGTGTCTTGGCACTTCTTGTGAATTTATACAATTGTTTTAATACAGAAACGGATAAGCTGTCTTCATTAAAGTAATGTGAAAAGAAAAATTGTTGTTTCTGTAAAGACACATTTAACGGGATAGTTCACTTTGAAATTAATTTTTGATATGTTTTAACTTGTTACCACAGCCACGTGTAAGTAATCTGGGGGTGCGGGCGCTTTGTCGCTGTGGTTACAAGAGGTAAAAACGATATAAACACTGTTCGTTTTCTCTCACAAACCGCTCGTTTCGTGTCTTAGGCCATCAATATTAAATTAAATCATGTTTAATTTGGACTTCTCTGTGCATGCTCTTTTAGGTGGACCCCTTTGGTCTCCATTATATGACTTACATCAAGAACGGTTTGACCTAAAAATATCAAAATTGAAAAATACTGTGGAAACAAAGACTCCTACATCTTGGATGCCCTTGAGGTAAGCAAGTAGAACCTCTCAAAGCTAGCACCCTTGTTGGAATAGTTAACAGTACCTAATGCTGGAAATAATAGATGATTGAGAACTGCATTGGACCATGAACTTTAAAGTTTGAAAACATTTTGTCTCGTGTATAATGCACACACAATTTTCGGTTCTCGGTTTTTCTCTCATCACATAAACGATTTCTGAGAAACGCTGTTGAAAGTGGATCAGACCAAGCAGCACAATACACATGTAGCCAATCAGCAGCAGGGGGTGTGTCCACTCATGATGGGGGAGGAGAGAGAGTGAGCAAGCGGGAGATTTGAAGAAAGACTGTAGAAAGAGAGCTGGCTGAGAGACATTACAAAAGAGAAAAGGTCAGAGAAATATTTCCTTGATAGGAAAGGGTTATGATTAGCATTTATGTTAGCGTTAGCATTAATGTTAGAAAAGCTTTCCAACGCTGGAAAGACCCAAGAGGGAAGGCCAGAAAATGGATGCCGAGGTTATTGTTGCTCCACACGTGAGTAACACTGGTTTTGCTATGTTTCACAGAACCAAAACATGCTGTTGTTGTAACGTTAGCTCTAGTAACAGGACCGTTTTGAGTCATTGTTTACTGGAGCTGATGCGCTGCTTCTGGCGACTAACAACCAACTCTTGCTTGTATTCCTTTTGTGTACAGTATGTAAATTTTTTGTTCTTCCTTGTTTGTTCATCATCTTCGCTTTATTTTGCTTTGCTTCAGCTATGATAAAAGAGCCTCCACTCAGCAGTAGAGACCATAGGCCAACGCTTTATAGTTAAAGTGCACAGGATTATCTGTGTCTGAGGCACAGAACACATCACGGGAATGCCCTGTCAAACATTAAACGCAGAAATGCAAGAACACTCCACTTCAAATGATTGCTCACTGGCCTATAACTAAAGGGGTTAAGTCTTATCCTCTCAGAGTTTAACTGCCATCAATGTCCTGTGAGGGAATGTAACCGGAATAAAGTCAGGAGGTTTTGAACAGGAGAAGGTTGACTTAATGTTCAGGTTTTGTTGACATGCGTGTGTCTCCATTTTGTAAAGCAGAGAATGAGGTGTATGCGTCATTGGCAACATAATGTGGTCATGGACTTTTACAGCTTAGAGAGGACGGGACTGACCTGTGAAGTGACGAGCCGTGGTTTATTTTTAATGCACCTCTTAGGAGTGAGTAAATATGATATAGACACCATAATAAAAGGCTGGTGGCAAGTCATGATCTGTTTACTTAAGAAGCAAACTGACATGTCTTGTTTCAAGAGAAATCTAACTCAATACAATATTTTGTATATTGTATTTTTGTTTTTACTGTAGTTTTGCTCAGAATTTTACATAAACCTTTTTTGGAAACAAGACTGGATTTCATTATGGCAAGTCAAGGTAGCTTGATATCAGTATGTTTTAGCTGGAAAAATAGACTAGACACTAAGAAAATGATATATTATTTTGCCATATGCAAAGTCTGTGGGATGCCTTTGGTGACTGTCATAACAAAATATGAACGCTGCTTGATTAATTTGTTCAAAAATCTGCATAAGCAACTGATTAAAAGATTGAAACTATTCAACTTCTTTACTTTTGGTCCTAGTTGTACAA